ACAAAACTCTTGATAGATCTCCCCCAAAGTCTCTAAGTAGCCTTATTTCACCTCTTCACTGCCGAGCACTTGGAGAAAAAATATTAGCATAACATTTATTTGAAGCAAGGGATGCATAGCTAGCATATGAACATATCACAACACTGCACTTTTGTATATTGATTGCTTTGCAGACACACTTCCAAAATAAAATAATGTAAATGTGCAGAATTTTTATTTTTCACATATTCATTTATCCTTCATAAAAAACAATTTGAGAAATGAAAAGCTTTTGACAGTGTCCTTTATCTTGCAATATTTCATACATAGTCTGAAATGTAAGTGTAAAAGATGTGACAAAAAGAAATAAATACAAATGGTCAAATACCTTGCTTATAGGTATTTGCAAGGATGCTGAAGGTATTACTAGCAATACAGCTTACTACAAATTGCAACAGCGACATCGTATACTTCTAAAATAAAGGTATTTAAAACTGCTATAGCAATGTTTACAAATCTCTGGATTGCTAATGTAACACTGACATTAAAATGGTAGAGTCCATTCACTGTTCCCCCATCCCTGACTGTAGGAATAATATGACCCATTGAAATTTCCTATGCTGTAATTATAACTAGAGTATACATCTGAGTGTGGCTTCAAGGACTAGATATCTTACTGCAAAATACATGAAAATAAAAATATTTATACTCAATTTGGGTATTGAAGTAGTTAAGTACGTACCACTGAAAGGGTTGTCTACTAAAGTGTGTTTTTGGTTGTTTTTTGTTATTCATTGTTAATTTCAAATTTTAAGTTAACCCCTTAAGGACCAAACTTCTAAAGACTAAAAGGGAATCATGACATGTCACACGTCATGTGTCCTTAAGGGGTTAAAGGAGAGAAACTGGAAAAACTTATGTTTTCAAAATGACTTTTTAGGCTTAAAATTTGAAAGTCACTTGGAATTTCTAAAAATTCACATTTGAGTAAATAACCCTATAGGATGCCAACCACCGATTATTGTATTACGGCATTAGTAGCAGGTCTCTCAATGGTCCTGCTTTTGGTGGGACAATCACAGTGTCTGAGGTCTGTCCCATTATTCCACTCCAGTTCCCTGGCTGTTTTTTTTATCTGGGGACACCAGGGAAGTGTCCCGGGCAGCGCAGTTCGAGAACTCATTAGATGCTTCTGCTGTGCAGTGGGCATTAGGACCATGCAGCACACACTGCATGGTATTGAAGGCTTGGGGCAGGTTGTGAGCAGACCAGCCTCTTTTCTTGATGTGCCTGCCCATTTGGGTGTCACCAGCAATGTGTGTCGCGATGCACCCCTCATGGTCCCTCCCACCCCTACTTGATTCCATACCTTCTATTGCTGTAAGAGATAAATGTGTTTAAATATCAAGTATTTAAATGTTCATGCAATGAGGTCTTTGATAAACATAATTTCTGTCTGTAAAAATAAGAATTGTGTTCAACAGATGCTATAGCTCACGTAGCGTGATTGTCTTATTTAAATGAGAAACTTAATTTGAAAATATTATTAAAACTTATTCCAGGTTGATCATGACAAACCTCGGCTAACATCTGCTAATGCTGATATGATTAACTTTATGCTTCATTTATATTTAAATCAGGTTCAGGTTCAGTCAAACAGATTTTAAGGAAATAAAAAAATTAATATTTTTATCAGCAAATCATTCATACATCACTGCAACATGATTATAATACATATTTAAAAATTAACCACCCTCATTCTTGAGGCATATTTTAAAACTGATCAAATGCTATCAAAAACAATATTTATTTTCCGCTCTACTTGGGCTAATTACTGGCTTTAATTTAAAGGGGAACAGACACTTATCTAGAATTTACACCACAGAATAAAATATTGAAAATCACTTCTGATTTGTGCTAAACTTTTTTTTCTGAGATGATCATTTTTAAAAAAAAATCTATATTTTAAATTAAGCAAATCTCATCATGATCCAATTCAGACAAGACAAAGCCAGGGCAAACATTGCAAATGAGTAGGAGAAATAGAAATATTATTTTTAATAGTTCAATTTCTCCACTTCTCTGTATACTTCCCCTATTTTGACTGACATGTGCAATGGGCAGAGCTTACAACAATAATTGACAGAGGGCTGAGATGGAGGCACCCAGTTGCAGGATAAAGAGGTGTGGATTTCTACATTTAGTTTTATTTTTACACCTCACAAATACATATTTGTTAACTATAAGGATAAGTAAATATAATGTTTAAAATCCTGGAAAGTGACAGCTCTCCCTTAACCCTATTAATGCTGATAGGACATCATAGCACGCCCTAATGATCGGGCACTCCCAGCAGCCAGAATACTTACCCTCTAACCAGGGTGACTGCCTCACAACCACGGCAGTGCCCCTGAGCCAATCCCACCCATCTGTGTCACGCGATTGTGTCACTGCAATCAAGTAATTGGGATCTGTGTGATTGACAGACTGGCTGCCTAGGTTGTCAGGCAGATCCCTCAATATAAAATTAGTAAAATCACATATCACTTAAAAAAAATAAACACACACTTGGAATTAAATTAAGTTTATACCCCTCTCTCTCTCTCTCTCTCTCTCTAATAATTATATATATATATATATATATATATATATATATATATTGAATATCCAGAGAATTTAATTTGACCCTGGAACTTTCCAAAACCCCAGAAAACCTGTACATGGAGCATACTGTTGTACTCATGAGACATCGCTGAAAACAAATATAAATGGTTTAGGGTGGTAAAACATATAGTGACGATGATATGTTCAGTGAAAATGCAGTTGTGTGTGAAAAAAATGCAAGAAACAAATATGAACACTAACTTTGTCTAGGGTTTGTGACTAATACTATAAGTGGCTACTAAAAATACAGGATATAACTAATTTAGAATAACCTGGGTTGCTTGCTTTTGCAAATGGTATGCCATGATGGGCCCTGGGAGCAATACAGTGTTAAAGCTTCAGTCCAATCCAATACTTCTGTGCAGAGAAACCCTGGGTGCACTACTGCTAAGGTGAGGCAATTGCTTCACTGCACTAATCAAACCCTTTTTTATGCATTATCCCAATACTCCTCCACGGCAAGCTTTACCTGCATTCAAACAAAGTGGCATTAAATGTGTACATTAAAAGTCACATGACTCTCTCAGTACTGAAAATCAGTGATGGTGCAATCTGAGCATTTAAAAAAAAATGTCCAGAATTGCAGTGCTGGTGATTGTGTGTTTTATACCTTTGGATTCAACATAAAGGGTAAGTATAGGAGTCACCGAGATTAAAATAAAAAACATTAATTTCTCTGTATTACAAAAGCATCAGCATACATTCCTGAGCCCTGTGTTTTGGGGAAAGTAGTCATGCTACCTAGTTATATATTTTTTATTCTAATACAAACATCCTTTTTAAACACTTATTTTGCGAGTACTGATTTCTCTTTATATTTTTACTATACACAGATACAAAATCCTTTCTTTTCCAGTAAATTATTTTGCTATATAGTTTACTATATTTTTTCCACTAATATGCTTACTACCATAGTAGCTACTATTGGTTATATATCACTGTTCTACTTTGTGATTTTTTTTAGATGTAGGTTACATTTTAAAAATCCTGCTAGAATACAAGTTACTCAATAAATATAATTCTGACTTATTCATTAAACAGAGAGCTTTTAGTGGAGAATCAAGGTGTAAATACAGACCAGAATTGTTAAGAAAAATAAATCTGAAATTAGTAAATTGGCATTTTGTATTGGTTGTTAAATCATTCACAGGTCCCTGTTTTAGTGAATAATAATGCTATCTATATTCTGAATTCATTAAAATCCAAAAGTGATATTAAGTAACTCTGAGTGACAAGGCACAACTCCGCTACTCTGTGATTTGCTACATGGTTAATACTTTAGAATGCCATTCATAGTTTATTTCAATGTTCCTACTTTTGTAGAGGTGAAGGTTGGTTCTTGCAGTGCCATAATTAGTTCAAAAGAGCAGGGATTACAGATGAATAATATATTTAATAAGAATATATTCCAGTTAAGTGTTATAAAGCAGAACTAAAATATTACATTTCAAAGTGCAAAGATGAAAAAGGAGTTTTTCATTATAAATTCCCTGTATATATCTCACGATTCAGAAATTCCCCTAAGGTAGACATTAAATCTATAGAATTTGATTCTATTCAAACCTGTTCAGTTCAATTAAATCAATGTCCTTACATTCTATAAGAACGATTACATACAATTGATCATGCTATGTAATATAGCTTCAAGGTAAAAAATTATTAGTGCTGTAGAGGTGGGATACTATGACATGTCATCAATAATATTCATGCTAACTGATCTGCCATCAGATAAACTCAGCAACTATAAAGAAAATGACCAGACCAATTAAATTACAGTATTAAGTAATGCTAATATTGATTTGTTATTTGAATGCTGATGTTTAATGCCATTATGTCTTGTCTTTTCTACATAATCAGTCTGGAAAGGGTGGGACGGGTTTTGCTTGGACACTTCGGAAGGGGGGGCATGACTGCTTCTCACAGATGTTGAACTGGGCAAGATGTTGTTAGTTGCCCTGAGCGACTAAAGGTGGGTTTAGGGCTAAAGTTTAGTAGACTGGCTGTTCTTCCCTATCTTCATTATTTGTTTCATTACTTTGTTTCATTGTTTGGTATTGTGCCGGTTTTTTGTTTCTTTGTGTTTTTTTCTTTTTTTTTCACAGCTTGTGCCATTTTTTTAGCCAGCTTACTTCATGAGGGGAGTCACAAAGGGTCATTTACTAAAGTGAGAAATGAAAGTGAATTTAAAATTTAACGTCAAAATAGCTGAACTGTAAATGCTGTAAATCAGCTATGCTTTTATTTCAACTACTCTGGCTTTAAATGTTACATTCACTTTGAATTAACTTAGAATTTTCACTTTAGTATAGAACCCTGATAATTTACAGTAATGTTTGATGGCAAAAATAATATACACTTGTGTGTGTGTGTGTGTGTGTGTATATATATATATATATATGTATATATATATATACATACACACACACACTCACAGACACATTCACATTCACAGACACACATACACTCACAGACACACACTCATACATTCACAGACACACACTCATACATTCACAGACACACACATTCACAGACACACACACACACACTCACAGACACACATAAACACACACACACACATTCACAGACACACACACTCACAGACACACACACACACATACACACACATTCACAGACACACACACACATACAAATTATTATTTTTTAATAAAAAAATGTCCACCCAGCCTCCCTACCTGGAGTGCTGGCGTGGACTTGTCCCTGGGGTCCAGTGGGGCAGGCGCCTGTCTCCATCTCAGCCGCGGCGAGGGAGCTGTGTGCTCTCTCCTTCCTCTCACCGTGCGGGCTGTCTACAGTAGCTGAGAGCCGGAATATGATGTCATATTCTGGCTCCCGGCATCAGCAAACGGCGCGTGGCGAGAAGAAGCAGAGAGCACACAGCTCCCTCGCCGCAGCTGAGATGGAGAGAGGGGAGGGATCCATCACCTCTTGCCACCCCCCCCCACCATGACAGGGGCAACACGGGGAGAGGAAGGGGGGCATTTGGGGGCGCTGAGTGCCTGCAGGAACAGTGTTCCTGCTCAAAAAAATGTGCAGGAACACTGTTCCTGCAGGACTCAATCCATAGGCATGCCGCAGGGATTAGGGTGTGCCCAGGCACACCCGGTGCGCATGCCTATGACTGTATGTGTCTGTTAGTGAGTGTGTATGTCTGTTAGCTAGTGTATGTGTGTCTGTCAGTGAATGTGTGTGTGTATTTAGAAGGCGGGGCAGGGAGGAATGGGGGGGTGGGCCTGAGTTTTGTCATGCCTAGGGCAGCGCAAAACTAGGATACACCACTGGTCATAACCACTACACAGTAGATAGACAGAAAGACAGATAGATAAAGTATGGATGGATGGATGCAGGTGTGTTGTTGATATGCTGATCTCACAGAAGCCCAGAGCATTCTGATTTAGGCACATGTCATTCTCCTATAATACACAGAATGAAATAACACCTCTAGTTACGTAATTTGTGACAATGATACTTTAATGCACCTTATCTGGAGTTAATTATGCAGCAAACTGTGGAGATATTGTTCTGGGTGCAGGAATTTAATTCAAGAGATACAGGATGAAAGCAAGTTAGGAGTTAATACTGATGGCACAGGATTAATAGCATGGTATGGGATTAATACAACATGATGTGGGGTTAATATCGCAACGGTGTGGGGTAATACAGAATCGTTTGAGGTTAATACAGCATGGTGTGGGAATAAAACAGCATGGTTCGAGGTTAATATAGCATGGTGTAGGGTTAATTTAGCATGATATTGGGTTAAAACAGCATGGTTTGCGGTTAATATAGCATGTTGTAGGGTTAATATAGCATGATGTTGGGTTAATACAGCATGGTGCGGGGTTAATACAGTATGGTGTGGGAATACAGCATGGTGTGGGTTAATACAACATAGACCTGCATGGTGCAGATCTAAAACAGCATGGTATTTAATTATGCATGGGATAGGCATACGGCTATCCTAACTATAAGATAAGGCCAGGGACTAATGAAAGTATTTAGAAAATGCGGCAGACTAGATGGGCCGAATGGTTCTTATCTGCCGTCGCATTCTATGTTTCTATGTATGAGGTTATTACAGCATGATGTGGGTTAATACAGCATAGTATGGGGTTAATATAGCATTGTGTTGGTTAATACAGCATAATGTAGGTTAGTAAGTAGAGTATGGGTTTAACACAGCATGGTATGGGGTTAATACAGCACAGTGCAGGGCTAATACAATATAGTATGGGGTTTATACAGCATAGTATGGGGTTAATATAGCATTGTGTTGGTTAATACAGTATGATGTGGGTTAGTAAAGCAGAGTATGGGGTTAACACAGCATGGTATGGGGTTAATACAGCATGGTGCAGCGGGTTAATACAGCATCGTATGGGGTCAGGGTCGGCCCAAGACATTGTGCTGCCTGGGTCAAGGATGAAATGCCTCCCCCCTGCCTTGCACCAATAGCACGCCAACATCCATTATGTTATGCAGTGTGTGTAGTGAAGGCAATGTCTGTTTGTGTAGTGGATGCAGTGTTTATATCATATTCAGTGTGTAGTGAATGCAGTGTGTGTGTTCAGTGGATGCAGTCTCTGTTCGTCGTGGATGCAGTGTCTGTGTGTCGTGGATGCTGCGTCTGTGTGTCATGAATGCTGCGTCTGTGTGTCATGGATGTAGCATAGGCGTGCGCAGCCTATTGTATAAGGGTGTGCACCCTAAAGCACAAACACACAAGCTGCATGTGTATATAAATATATACTGCTGTGTGTGTGTGGGGGCACTGTGTGTGTAAGGGCGCTGTGTATGTAAGGGCGCTGTGTGTGTGGGCGCTGTGTGTGTGAGGGTGCTGTTAGTGTGTGTGTGTGAGGGTGCTGTTAGTGTGTGTGTTTGAGGGTGTGTGTGCTGTATGTGTGTAGATGCTGTGTGTGGGGGGTGCTGTATGTTTGGGTGATTGTGTGTATTGTGTGGGGGCCGTTTAGTAAATATCCCCCCTCCCTTCCTACCTTATGCCTGGGAGGGGGGATCCTTGTTCCTGCTGCTTTCATCCCTGGTGGTCCAGTGGAGAGTGAACTCTCGCCTGCGGGGCTAGAGTTCACTCTCGCGAGATCTGAGCGTTGCCATGGCAACGCTCAGAATCCCGCGAGAGGAACCCGGCGGAGCTACTGGCAAGAGCTCCCCGTGTCCTCTCCTGCCTCCCTCCCTGCCTGTGGGTCGCAAGGACCTCACTTTCAGATGGCCGGGGGGGGGGGGCGGAGGAGGCAGGATCCGCCGCGGGGGACTCCCTGGGATCCCAGGTGAGTCTCACCAACCGGGATCGCCAGCGACCGGGTAAGTAAAAAAAAAAACGGAGGGCGTACTATTACGCCCTGCGGCAATTAGAGCCGCTTTGAATAGGGCGTAATAGTACGCCCTCCGGTTTTAAGGGGGTTAAATAAGGACTTTGATTGCTGGAGGAGGAGCTAGGTCGTGATGCTAACCTGCACGGTGCTATGCTCGAGAGACACTGACGCGCGTTCCAACGTGAATTCCATAAGTCCATGACATATTCAGGAGGAGCCAGAAATGACATTGTGGCTGGTCGCAATTACTGGAAATAGGAAACAGATGAACTGTATGTGGATACCGTTATAAAAACTGTGAAAATAGACAGAAGCATCATCACTGGAAGAAGCCTATACTGCCGAAACGCGTTTGCTGCTTATTTTCCACTACATGCACTTTATATTTCTTGGGTTACTGGGAGGTGGGGAGTGTAACCAACTGTGGACTTTACTATTTTTAACTCCCACTACTACTAATCCTTTTAAAATACTGAAGATCCTTCATACAGTTCTTAGGAACATTGGATCCTTGAGCCATTTGTGGCACCCTAGAGTGCATAATATAGAGCATGGGACGGCTCTGGGCCATGTGAGTGAAACTCTGATCCCATTTCTTTACCATAGTAGATAACAATATTCCTTTTTAACGGTTCACACTATGTTGCTTGCATTTTTTTGTGCTTTATTTTAGGTAGTCTATGGTACCCAAATGTATGAACATGCATTTGTATTCATATATGTTTTTATTTATTGTGTCACAAGGTTCATTTCCTTACTAGTATATTTTAATTCTTTGTTGATGTCTTATCGAGTGTTTGGGGAAAGCACGTTTTTATACTAGTTTGACACATTTATCATCACTATTTTAAAGCACCTTACACACTTTTTGTTTTTTTATTCTAATATAAGTTTTAAGTCTATTCATTCTTTTCACGCAAGTGACATAATACAAATTCTCCAAAGTACTCAGCTTCTACTTTTTGCTCACAGAATTATACATTTTAGATATGTTCACGAATGAGCTCCATAAAGCATGATAAGAAATTATATTAATCCTCTGATGTGACAGCCTTTCATGAAAAACCCCTCATTGCAGAGATACGCTGTAGCGGAGAGCTGGTATTACACTGCCTATCTCCACTTTAGATCCCAGGGAGGATCAGGAACAAGCAATTATAAATCCATAGGGCAAAGTATCCAGCAGGCAAAATAACACAGCAGTATCCCAACAGCAATCCCAATAACTGGACGACACACAGTATCAGGAGCAGAACTAAAGATTTATTCAATGTTGCAACGGGTAATTGAAGGCACACTTCACACATGGGAGGTCTGACTGTTCGGTAGTTTCATTTGAACAAACTAAGGGAATGAAACTACCGAACAATCAGACGAATACAATACATTTAACACATAGAACTTTGCCATTTACACGAATGCAGTCAAAACATATGCAATTCTCAGGACAGTCCAGTGCCACCCGCTACATACGCCTTAAGTGGCCAATTGCTTTAAGCATACATTTTTGTAACTGCAATTTTTATTGAAACAAGCTCCCACTCTTTCTCAATATTACATGCTTCTAAGGATTCCGTAAGCCTTTGAACTTTATTTTATATAGTCGTTTCCTCTTTGTAATTTTATAATAAGTATTAATTAATTAACTTTAGAATAAAGAAAATCACCTTATACGTGTTCTTATAATGACAAATAGATTTTTTATAATATTCACTAGGTGCCAAACTAAACTAATAGTGTTTAAATTCTCATCTAATGGATGTTTGTAAGGAATCTGCTGTATTTTTTTAAAATACAAAATGTAAACAATGGCAGTATGTGGGCAGCAGTGGTTATGGTGCTTGGTGTGTTCCTAAGGAACACTATAGTCACCTAAATTACTTTAGCTAAATAAAGCAGTTTTAGTGTATAGATCATTCCCCTGCAATTTCACTGCTCTATTCACTGTCATTTAGGAGTTAAATCACTGTGTTTCTGTTTATGCAGCCCTAGCCACACCTCACCTGGCTTTGATTGACAGGGCCTGTATGTAAAAAAAAAAACTGGTTTCACTTTCAAACAGATGTAATTTACCTTAAATAATTGTA